TCCTTCCTGCAAGTGTAGTTTGTGTCAACAGATACTTGCATTTTGTTTTTTTCTCAAAGGACTATGAAGGAGAGTTCAGAAAAAGGCCATTATATCTACCTGTTAGGGAGGAGTTGCAAGCATAAATAATAGTGTCCAACTGATCATGGCTTTTAAGTGTAAGAGTGGTGCTGCCTGCCTACAGAGTAGGAGACTAGTATAAATCACTGAACACACAGAAATGTTAATAGCAAGTGGTCTGAGTTCTGGGTATTGCTTAGCTTTTGTGGGCTCAAATCCATTCTTACCACCTTCCAAAATTCACAGACTGACATTTGAGTATGGTACTTTAACTAAATAGCAGCTTAGGCAGAAATAAGACTATGTGAGTCCTGCCCAAAAAGTCAAAAGTCACTTTAGAAAATGAGATTTTGGGTTCTAAGACATTAAGAAACTCCTGAAAAGTTTATGCAAAGCCTAGTGGCATACAACTTCAAAGCTTTGCATCAGAAATACTTTTGACATTTCAGTTTTGCAACAAGAATGCTGCAGTCTTGCTGCTGAAAAATAAAACCTTCACCAATGCATGAAAATAATGTATATCCAGTCAAAATGGATGCGCCTTCCATGTCTTCTTACTACCTGAATTTTCAGTAGTATATCTTTTGAGATTATTATAATTCCCATGGGGAAAATTATGAAAACTCTCAGCCTAGGATATTTTTGAATGAGACTAACAGCTTTCTTTGGAGCATTTAACAAACAGTGGGCTTCTAGGGTAGGAGTTCTTGAGCATTAAAGTGATTGTGACTTACAGTTTAAAAATTACAGATGAGAAGACCTTAGACTCTTTATTTGCCAATGAGACTCAATGCTAGCTGGATAGCTAATACTGAAACCCTAAGATTTCTTTGAAGATTCCTGTTTTGCCCCTGGTGACATATGTTCCACCCATAAATAAATGTTTTCCTTTTGGGCACCTTTGCTCTCAGAGCCTAAAGCTGCAAGTGACCCCTGAGAACAGCATTTCTTTTTTGAGGAGGTGCTGTATTTTAGTGGGATTGTCTCTGCAGGAGGGCTGGAAGGGAAGTCCCTGGCAACTGTGAGTACTGGCTGTGCTCTAAAACCCACCTGATACTGAAGTCCTCACCAGAGCACGCAGGTTTTGAAGCTGGATTCTGAGAGAAGGAAGTATAAAGCTCCTTGTTTCTTTGGAGCCCTGCTCCAAGACTGACAAGCACAGTTGCTATAAGAAGGGGCTAGAAACTTTGTTATTTTAAATTCAGACGTCTTTGTGCAGTGGAATGTTAACCTCAGACTAAAGAAAATTACATCACAAAGAAGAGAAGTCTGCGGTACTTTGAAAAGCACAGATGACAAAATAGGAAGAAAATATCTGCTAAGGTTTATAGAACAAGAAAAAAAAAGATACTTGATCCTAATATGATTTATTAGTAACAGTAATGTTACAAAGATGTTACTGAGACATAGCATTAGGGCCTTTTTTCCTATGAATGCCATCTCTAATGGCAGTCTCAGTATCCTCAAAGAGAGCAGAGTGCAGAATACATGTTTTTTTCCCCCTCGGATCTACAAAACAGGTATTCTAGTTAAGGAGTGTCAAGAAAAAGAAATAGGAAATGTTATGGAAGAAGAAAGAAAATACGCAGAAAAGATCCTTTGCCTTCTCTTTTCCCCTGTCTTTTCATTCTTTTCTCCTTTACTTCTGTCATTCCTTTACAGGGGGAGGAACAAATCACTTAGTTGTAAACATACGTAAGTGGGCAATATTTTAATTTCTTTGGTTGACAGGATGTACAGATAAAGAAAACTCACATGCAGGGTGCACTGAAGTCATCATACTGTGAGTGTGGGACTAGGGTTAAAGGGACTAGGGTTATAGGGGCAGTCCTTTGGCCTCTGCCAGGGTTGGGCTCCCTGAAGCAAGAGAAGAGGGCCAACAACTCATAGTCAATGTGAGAAGAAGATGTCACTTCAGTTTCCGCTGCAGAAGTAAGAAGGTGGATGGATGCATTCCGCTAAGCTGCCAAAGAGATAGGGGTTTTTTGGTCAGCAGAGCGTGGAAAATTAGAGGCAGGAAAAGCACTGAAGCAACACTGGGGCTGCATGTTCAAGAATGAATATCCTAAGCAAAAAAAGCAATATTTGTAAAGTCAAGCAGAAAGTGTCTAGTTACAAGAATAGTTGAGAGACAGACAAATAACAGGATATGGCTGGTAGAATAAATAGGCGAGGAGTCTAGAGGCGTTTCCATGAGTCACCGCTGGGCTACATAGAGTAACCAAAACAGCACAGAGAAATGATTCAAGGGGATGCAAGGGAAGTGGATGCAGAAGAAATAAAAAGGAGGATAAAAGCATTGTAAGGCTGAGGAGACAGGGGAATGGATGAGATGGAATGATGTCATGGAGAGATACCTTTCTTGGCCAGACATGTGGAAAATTGAGGTACATAGATATAGTTCTGTTTATGATCCGCTGCCAGCAACTGCTTGTTTACAACACTGAGGGTTAAGATGACAGCTGAACCTTGACATGACAGGAAACCTTATTTCACAGTAAGTCTGACTGGTCTGGCAAGGTATGACGTCTGGTAGCAATGGAGGTCTGAAGAGACTTTTTAAATCTAGTACACATCTGAAAAGAACCAAAGTGGAAAAGGAAGAATGTATCTTTCTTTTTCAGATTTATGGTACTGAAAAAGAAAGATCATTTTTTCCAAGAATCATTGCTAGATGCTGGTGGAAGCAAACAAAATCAAATGGGCATCTTGGAAATGAAAGCGTATTTTAGAAGGAAGGATTTGTTTTTATCCTTATGAGGAGTAAAAGCTGGAATGAACCTGAGCCTATTGTTACCATGTAAGTGTCTGAAATGAAATAAACAGTTTCCTGACTGAACGGCTATCCCCATGGCAATAGGAGAGGATCTTGCACATTAAAGACTGAAAGGAGTGAATAGATGAGAAAGCAGCACAGTAGATCCTGACACAGCCCAGGGTACAGCATGTATCCTTAGAACTGAGCTGTGAAGGATACATGCAGAAGGAACAGTCCCTGTATTTCCAGGGTTTATCAGTAATATGAGATAGGACTACACTGCAAGTCAGGCAAGGACAAAAAGAACCCTTGTTAATTTTAGAAGCACAGGGATTATTGTGTGGAGCATTAAAGGTGCATTATTTAATGGGTGCCTAAAACTTTTATTAACTCTTCTTCACTTACATTTATTTTCTGTTCCATGGCTCAAACACAGCCCTGGATAGTTACCAGGATAAACTTGAAGGCCAACAGGAGCTGTGCCTATTTATTCCAGGGTTGGAAGGAGCTCTCTAGCTCCAGCTCTAAACTGAATAACCCTTGCGAATGTGCAGCAGAGCTCTGTATGAATTACTGATTTATTTTTTTTAGTTCTGCTGTAAAACGGGAAATGAGAAATGAAGATGTCATTGGCACCAACCAAATTCTAAGTTCTTGTTTTGGCAAGAACAAAAAAAAGATGTTCTGACACAGAATGTTCCCATTTGGCACAAATGAAACCATTAAGGTATTTGAAAGAAAAGCCAAAGAAATAAAGCATTAGCTTCAAAAAATATAATGTGGCAATTTCATGCCTTTTCTCCATAGGTTCAAGGATCAGATTTCTCACCCAAGCTATGACCGGCTGAATTGTCTCCTCTCCTACATGCCCCATATCCTTGCAGAGCACCCCACTCTCCAGCCTGGTAGGACAACCCTAGGTTGAGCTTTCTCTCTAATCCCTGTTGATATTCTTACATTCCATTAGAAAAAGGATATATACATTCTTTATATCACAGAGTGTGAGTGAGGGCAACTTGTTTGCTTGGTTTACACCAGGAAGGTAAGAGGGCAGGTTTCAGTTCCCTCAAGCAGAAAATGGAACTTAATTTGCATCTCTAGCCTCCTGCACATTCCTGAAAAATCCTGAAAAGCTCTGGTTCTTGAGACCTTGTGTGACTGGGGAACAGTATTCCTTTTTCTTTTATTCTGGTTTTGTGTGTCTGGTGCTTAAAGCAAACAAACCAACCCACTTAAAGCCTTTCAATACAGCTGGACTGAATTTGTTATTTAAATTCAGGTGGATTGAAATCCTAGTTTTACCAATTATTATTCACTAGAAAAAAAATCTACCCAGCTAGTGTTGAGGGGGAGTAAAGTCTCCCCAGATGATCTTTACAAATCTCTCCAAGCTCATATTCAGTGGGAAACACCCTGGTCTTGACCCTTCCTTCCCCCCCGCAAAGTCTCTCGCACAATAAAAAAAGGAAAGGGGGGGATGATGGATTTTCTCCCATAAGCAAAAGTATCCTCTGAAGTATTTTATTTTCCCTGATCCTTTTAGCCCTTTCACTGTTAGTGAAGCTAGAGTATGCTACCCTGACACAGCGTCAGGGGAGGGTTGTGATAAGATGTCTCATGTTTTAAGATCGCTGGAACATCCTAAATTTACATACATTTATAAAAACAAAAAGCTGAAGCAATAATTGGCCTGGTCTTAATTTCCTTCACAGTCAGCACAGTTAGTTGCATATTCAGATTTAAAGGCAGAGGCTGGAAATAAAATAATCAATTTTGGTAGTGACATCTTTGGAAACCTCAGTGGAAAGAGATATTTCCCAGCAATCCATAGTTGCAGGGATCAGTGTGAACATTTATTTTAAATTGCCACACAGGATCTGAAACAAGAACTTAGAAATCAGAGTGATCAATTTATTTCAGATGACCTTTGGTTTGTGAAGGTTTTTCACTGAAAGCAGCTTAGCTACAGGAAAAAGCACAAATAGCTACTTTTGCAAGCTTTACGTGACAATGCATAAATATGATACATAAAGAATAATAAGGTTACAAAGTCAAGCAGTCAAATGGAAGAAAAAAGCAAATTCACAGAATAATAAGGATATTCACACAGAATAATAAGGAAATTCACACAGGATAATCCAGGTGGGAAAATACCCCAGGAGGTCACTAGTCCAACCTCCTGTTCAAAGCAGGGTCAGCTAGGGGGTCAGACCAGGTTGCTCATGGGTTTATCCAGATGGGTCCTGAAAATGTGCAGTCCCCAGGAAACCTGCTCTGCTGCTGGGCTGTCATCACAGTGTAAAAGTTTCTCTTTCCATGCAGTCTGAACCTCTCTTGTTGCAATTTAGGTTCGTTCTCTCTCATCCTGCCTGTCTGTCTTCTTGATGACCTCGACATAGGTCCTAGAAGGCTGCTTGTAGGAGCCCCTTAAGATTTCCCTTAATTAACTTTAGGAAATTTAATTAAACTTTCCTCCTCAACTTTATTTTATTTTCCTTGTGTATATGCATATGGCATGTGCTATGATAGAGTCTCTAACTACCTGAACAAATGCTGCTTCTTTCTCAAGATTTCATCCTCATTTACTGAAAAGGATGGATGGCATCTTACTTATGGGGTAGCAACCTATTAAATTTTTATTCTGCATTGTTCAGCATGTGGTGTCATTCCTTGTTTACAGCACACTTAAAATTAGCCCCCTAAGGAGGTTTTTCTCATTATCATTAATTCCCTCACAGGTTTCTAATAGTATTGACTGTGAAACCTGTGTGGGAATTGGAATTTGCATTACATGAAATTACATAGAATAGTCTTGTATTTTTAATTTCTGATTTAGAAAACGAAGAAAAATCCTCCTGCAAAACATTTTTAAATTAGAAATTGACCCATTTATGTGGAATAGCTCAGACTGAACAAAGCTGTAATTGTTAAGTTACCTGATTTGTTTTCACAATTTCATAATTTCAAATACCAGGTGGCCTAAAGGTGTATTATGCTTATTTTACAAGTAGGAAATTGAAGCACAGAATAAGAAAGTTCTAGCACAACCATATATTTTGTATGTCTAAACTGAAACACTTGAGAACGTGGTTAAACAGAGAGCTGAGAGAATTTTACGGAGTCCTGAGCCCTTGAGCTCTTCCAAATAAAGAGATGAACACTTGTGAACCTTAAAGAGATTATGATGCTCTAGAAAGAGAATGGAAGGGACTTGAAACTTCTCTGTTAGTCTGTGAAGGTCTACACAGGGACAAGCATCTTGACTTAATTACATTTCCAGCTGTTTTGGAGGACAGAGTGCAGCTCATACATCTGCTGGGAAGAACTGCCAAAAGTTGACACTCTGCTTACAAGTCCAGTGCAAAACTAAAAATAAGTGATGGTTTTCTGATTTGGCTAGTCTGCTCCCAGACACAGCAGGTTTTGGAGGACAACACACAGAGGAGGCCAGCATCTCTGCTCAGAACAGCATCCACATCCTCTGCAGTGGTGGTGACATGTGGCAGGGCATGGTCCCCAGCTCCCCAGGACCATCTATCCCTGGCACATCAGAGACCTCAGACCAGAGTGAGCTCCTAAGGGTGCATGCAGCTCTGTGGCCAGGGGCTGTGGAGACACCAGAGGCCTCTCAGCAGGGGCCCAGCTTAGACGTGCTCCTCGCCTGCAGCACATGGGTGCTGGGGATGGCCCATGCTGCCAACTGAGGGAGCTGCAGGAGGGGGTCCACAGGCTGCGCAGCATCAGAGATGGCAAACAAGAGATTGACTGGAGCCTCTCCAAAATCCTGTAGGTACTAGAGCCTGAACCCCCAGCTGCATCGACGGAGGGGGAGGCACAGTCCATGCTTGTGGCACTGGGAAATGGAGACTGCTGTGATGGTGAAGGCTGGAAGTTGGTGACTTCTGGCACCAGGAGGATGGCTCCAGCCCCATCTACAGATATGCAGCTCCAGAAGGGGGTCAGTGCCCTAGCAGCAGAGGAGAGGCTGTATGCTGTGTCCATGAAGCCTCTGATATGGCAGCATAAGATGGTGAAATTCAGGATCCTGAGAAAAAAGAGCAAAGCGAGGAGCAGGATCACAACCTTGGACTTCAGGAGAGCAGACTTTGGCTTGTTCAGGGATCTTCTTTGAAGAATCCCATGGGATACAGTCCTAGAGAGAAGAGGAGTCCAGCAAACCTGGTCTGTTCTAAAGGATCCACCTCCTTCAGGCTTGAGACTGGTCCTTCTCCACATGTAGATAGTCAAGAAAAGGTGGCAGGAGGTCTGCATGGATGAACAAGGAGCTCCTGACAAATCTGAAACATAAAAAGGAAGTGTACATAAGGGGAAGCAGGGACAGGTCACACTGGAGGAATATAGAGGGAGAGACTATTTGAGTGAACAGGGATGGGGTTAGGAAAGCCAAAATTCACATGGAGTTTAATCTAGTCAGGGATGTGAAGGGCAACAAAAAAAGTTTCAGCAGGTACAACAGCAGCAAAAGGAAGACAAGTGAAAATGTGGGCCCACTGTTGAATGGGGCAGGTGGCCTGGTGACAAAGGACATGGAAAAGGCTGAAGTACTCAATGACACTTGCCCTCTGTCTTTAGTGGTAAGAATAGCCTTCAGGTAGCCCAGGCTCCTGAGGTGAGTGGGAAATTCTGGAGCAATGGAGACTTACCTATGGTGGAGGATGATCACATTAGGAGGCATTTAAACAAACTGGACATGCACAAGTCCATGGGAACTGACAGGATGTGCCCATGAGTGCTGAAGGAGCTGGCTGGTGTCGTTGTGAGACCACTCTAGATTACCTTTGAAAGGTCATGGTGATCAGGGGAGGTTCCTGAGGACTGGATGAAAGCAAACGCCACTCCTGTCATCAAGAAGGGCAAGAAGGAGGATCTCAGGAACTACAGGCCTGCCAGCCTCAGCTTGACCCATGAGAATATCCTGGAGCAACTCCCATGGGAATATCCTGGAGCAACTAATCCTGGAAATCATATCTAAGCATCCAGGGCAAGACAGTGGTTGGGGACAGTCAGTATGAATTTACCAAGGGGAAATCATTCCTGACCAACCTGACAGCCTGCTGTGATGAGATGACTGGCTCAGTGGATGAAGGGAGAGCAACAGATGTTGTTTATCTTGCCTCTGGTAAAGCTTTTGACACTACCTCTCATAACATCCTCATAGACAAACTGAGGAAGTATAGATTACATAGGTTGACAGTGAGGTACTGTGGCTGAAGTGCTGGGCTGAAAAGGTTATGATCTGTTTGTGGCATAAAGCCCAGCTGGAGGCCCGTCACTACGGATGCACCTCAGGGGTCAATACTGGGGCCAGTGTTGTTTAACATCTTCATTAATGATCTGGAGCAGAGTACACCCTCAGCAAGTTTGCAGATGATACAAAACTGGGAGGAGTGGCTGATACATCAAATGGTGTGTCACCATTCAGAAGGACCTTGGCAGGCTGCAAAATAGGGCCTTTTTGCTTTAGTACTTTCTCATGAAGTTCAGCAAAGGGAAATGCCAAGTCCTGCCCCTGGGGCAGTGGGCCCACATTTTCACTTGTCTTCCTTTTGCTGCTGTTGTACCTGCTGAAACTTTTTTTGTTGCCCTTTACATCCCTGACTAGATTCAACTCCATGTGAATTTTGGCTTTCCTAACCCCATCCCTGTTCACTCAAATAATTCCCATATTATTATGGGAATAACCCCATGTGCCAGTGGGGATATACCTCCATGCTGGGTGCCAATGGGTTGGAAAACAGCTTGGCAGAAAAGGCACTGGGGGTCTTGGTGGACACCAAGTTGAACATGAGCCAGCAATGCACCCTTGCAGCAAAGAAGGCCAAAACCATCCTGGGCTGCATGGTGGGGAGCATTGCCATCAGGTTAAGGGAGGTGATCCTTCCCCTCTACTCAGATCTGGTGAGACACATCCAGAGTGCTGAACTGAAGTCTGGGCTTCCCTGTACAACAGAGACATGGACGTACTGGAGCAAGTCCAGAAAAGATGGAGCCAGACTCCTAGTGGTATTCAGTGACAGGACAAGATGCAATGGGCACAAAAGAAAATAAGGGAAATTCCACTTAAAAATAAGAAAAAAACACTTTAGTCTGAGGGTTATCGAGCACTGGCACACGTTGCCTAGAAAGATTGTCTCCATCTGTGGAGATGTTCAAAACCCAACTGGACACAGTCCCTGGCAACAGGCTGTAGCTGACCCTGCTGTGAGCAGGGACTAGATGATGTCTAGAGGTGCCATCCAGCCTCAAATGGTCCATGATTCTGTGATTCTATGACTTTTTTTCTCTCTGAATCTGACATTTCAATAAACTCTTCACAGACAACAAAATAGGTGGAGCTTGCTTTCATTACAGCTCTTTCTTTCTGTTCCCCCTTAAAATATTCGCAGAAACCTCTTGCTTGTGGTTTTTTGGGTCTTCACGGATTTTGTGGAGTTTTCTCCATATACTCTAAAGTGTAGGTCCTGGACACTACCACTACTCAGGACCTGTGTGGAGTTATGCTCAGGCCAAAGTAAGGTGTATATATAGTCCATAGTCCTGTCTGTGTTCTCAATGACAGATGGTGAGAAAAGGCTATCATAAGGTCATGCTTCCCTTACCGTACCTTTGCTGCCCCAACTTCCTGCAACCTGGCAGTTGGCGGTGTTTTTACCTGTGTCTTTAATGGTTCTCAGTGGTCTCTTCACCTATTTACTTATCGAAGTAAATTTGAACCAATTTATCTTTCCGGATTCCCTAACGTCCTGCAGCAATCATTCCACAACACTTATGTTTTTGACTACATCTTTTGCTTTAAAGTTGCTGCTTAGGTTCATTTCTTTATTCCTGTGTTGTGACTAGTGAATAATCACTTCCTTTTCATGTTCTTCATGGTGCTAATGATTTCATACACTCTTAAAATATTCACCTAAGTAATCTTTTTCTGTGCTAAAGAATGCTAATCTATCTACTTATAAAGCAGTTGTTTTATACTTCTACTCATCCTTGCCACCTTCCTCTGTGACCTTCCAGGGTCCTTATTCTATTAGATGTGTCCATGGGCTAGGAGGAGAGGACCGTACATAATGCTCAAGATGTGGACAGACAGTAGCATTGTATTTTTTCTTTTCTCTTTTCATTGATTCTTTCCCTTTTCTAATAATTTGTAATATTTTGTTTTAAGTACCGAGCAGACATCTTCCTAGAATGATCCACAAAGCTTCCACAATCTTTCCTGAGATGTAATAACTGATTTAGAGCCTTTCAGTGAGTATGTCTAGTTAGAGTTATTTTTCTCCATGTGTTTTACATTCATCTACATTAAAATTTACCTGCGATTTACAATTTTGCTAGACCTATGGCTCTCCCACAGCAATACCCCAGTTTTGTTAGGCAGTGGTACGTTGACTCTTTCTGGCTTTGTTGTGCTTTGGTTCAGCTATCTCATCCTGCTGTATTTGTGGCCTGCCTGCAGCCACCTTCTCCACAGTAGATAACTTGTGGCCATTCTTTTGGTGGTAAATTGAGATGCTTTATCTGTTTCTTTATCATATTTACCCACCCTGAGTAACCATCTCATCAGAAGACAGAGCTAGTTCTTGCTCCCCTAATGCTATTGCAATGCCATTTGAAGGAATTGCATTCTAAGACATATGAAATTTTATATTGGTTTTTTTGCTTGTTTCCAGAAATCTCTATGCCTGATATCAGTGTATAGCAGTGAAGGTATCTTGTTTCAATTTTCTGCAGGGAAAAAAAAAGTCTTATACTTCCTTAGTGATATTCTTACTTCAACTGAATAGTATTAAGTACAGATGCATGTCAATCTCAGTATCTTTTTAGGTAGGTACTATATTTTTGTATATTTTGTCACTAACTTATTCCAACTACTTAAGCTAGAGGTAACTGGAGCTAGTTAATTATACTTTTAAATTCAAAATTCACTGCAAACTCATGCCTACTGAAAAGCATGCTGTAGTCAGGCCAGGAATACTATATTCCACAAAAATAAAGGTATATGGTCATTTGTTTAAGCATGGTTACTGTCTAGTATTGTAATCTCAGGGAAGGCAGAACAACTATAAAAAAAGCCTCATCATAAACAAACGTATATAATGTAAAAAAATCTCTACCTGTAATTGCTTAATGGACCAAATCTTCTTATATCACAAACATTGGCTCTTTCAGACAACTTGCTATCTATGTTCTTTGTACTTTTTGTAAGCCAAACAGCCTTAATGAAAGCAATTGTTCTTTTTAGGTCAACATTAAAGTCTTTTCTGTAAATCATCCTTATACCTATCCTTTCAAGCAATTTTTTTCTATAATAGCTTGGCAATCATTATCTTGGTGCTTTCAACTAAAATCTCAACAATACTGAAAGCCTTCCCTTACAATGGGGTCTAGGAATGCACTGTACTGGTTCTTCAGAGCTATTTTTTGTAGGGTCTTGTTCCTAACAATAGTGCCAGGAATAATAGTCCTCATTTTCACCTGAAACCAGACCACATTTTTAATCAGATTCACAGTACATAACATACCTCTTGACTTAGGTCCATTGCACTGTCAAAATGCTCTGAGTGCATCTGCAACCACTAATTCTTTCCCCACTTGGTGTTCAATTTGCAAATCATACATTTGTAGCTGAAAAAACAAGCTCTATTCTTAGCGGCAGCAGAACGGTTTGCCAGGCCCCTTTTGGCACTGTCAACAAGTGGTTTATGGTCAGTGTCAGCTAATAGTGGCCTCTCATAAATAAAAACATGAAACATTTTTCACCCGTGGACTGAGACCAAAGCCACATTCTTTATTTGAGTTTATTGAAAGCCTGGTTTTTGTTCATTCCTATGGTGATTATTCTTTTGGGGTTTTTAAGTTTTAACCACACCATTGTAAAGAATTGTGCAATGCTTTTCTTAGAGCCATCAAGTGAACAAACTTGTTTTGCATTTATCAGCATAGCAACTCATGACTGAAATCTCATTGACCCCTTTAATTTCTTCCTTTCTTTAAGGGCCAGAATGAGTGTTTTGTCTTTACTGGGATGCAAATTTACTACAGTCTCTTGGTTCATTAAGCACGGAAAAAATCACTTGTATTTACCATTTCTCTAAATATTCCTCTCCTTTCTAGGTAATAGAAAATGTTCCATTTTACTGTGACTATTTAGCTTCTTGGAATCAACATCTAAATGAAGGGTCCTTTTTCTGCACTGAATTGCGTATGCCTGTACATTTGTTGGTTCTCCTCATTGCTGTATGATTCTGAGACAAAAAGCCTACTTCTCTATATTCTTGCC